GGGTTTAATACATTCTATCAAAAGATACGAGACCCGTCCCAAAGTCCATGCAGTAGTATCTTTGACTTGAGGTGACGGATCTTTCATCATCTCAATCAAAACAGGCAAAGCTTGATTTACTAGATTCGCGAGCATTTTGTGATCAGGACCCTCAAGAATAGATCCAAAAGCCATGACGGCTGCTTCACGAAATCGCCATTCACTGCTTCGAATATGATTTTCTACGAAAGGAATAACAGGTCCAACGACGGCATCTTCAACACATTGAGCTAGTAGAGCTAAACATGTTCCAGCAGCCATTGAAACATTCCAATCTTCTTCGTCCGCCTCTTCCTCCTAAAAAGTGAAAATCAATTATATACCAATTATAAATCAATTAAATATTAATCCTTTTTTTATAGAATTCATACCTGTTTTGTGAGCAGCCACAAGAGTACAGGTAAAATTTCGGGAAGAGCAGCTTTTGCAAAGTTATGGCTCAAACGATCTGGCTGCTCTCCAGTTTCAGCAGCCTAATTTTTTTTATACATATGCATAAGTATCATGAGGATAGAAAAGTAAAATATTAGGACATTGAAAATATATAAACCTCTAAAGCCTCTTGAGCTAAATCAATTTCTTCTTCGCAAACCGTCGACCAGAATTCAACAGCTTGAAGCGCTACTCGTTCATCATCATGTTTCATTCCAACAACAGTTAACTGTACATTAAATAAAAGTACGTATTCGGTGATTTTCATTAAATAGACATATGTTTATCTTTTAATATTATTAAAAACACTAACCCCAAATAAGGCCTTTTCCATATAAAACCGCATTTTATCGTAATATATCTGCATAATTCGCACCAAACATTCAAATGCCGCGCCTTGTACATTCACATCGGTACTTTGCGTAGCTTCACATACTATTTGCATAATAAAATTACGTTCACCCTGCAAAGCACAATGTTATAAATTAAAGATTGATGATTCCTAAATAATGAGAAATTTTTCGAATTATAAAATAAATAAATACCTCTCTCTCGAAATTGTCTCGGGTGAATTCTAAGGAATTATATAGAGCATTTAAAGCTGCACGCCGAACCTCTTGGCTTTATTATAAAGAATTAATCAGGAAAAATTGTTGTTGATAAGGAGAGAAAAAATGTAAAACTTTTCTTAAGTATTCATACTTTTGTTCTTCCTTCCTGGCACCTGAAACAATGCAAGTTAGGATAGAACCCGATTGTGCGGCTAAAATTTCAGGTTCCTATAATTGATAATTTATTATTAAAATTAATATTTTCTGATAAATTTTGGAAATTGAAGACCTCACTTACAATTGACTCGCAAACAAATCCAATAGCTGTCAATGTAGCTTGTTTGAGTTGAGAGTTATCAGTATTTTGTATACTCTCTAACATATTTTTGATTAGATCAGGCCATTGCCCTTGTGGAAGTTCTATCGCCGCGATTGCTGCGACCACCTTTTACAAAAAAAAATTAAATCGTAAATATATAATTTGGAGTTGGGAAGTATGCTATTAATTTGCATTTGTACGAACCTGTGCAGCTGTAGATGAGGCTCTAGAATCTGCGGATGATAATGTCATAAACACCTGGATAAAATTTTGAGATAAGTATTATAATCCCATCCATTAAGTTGAAAATAAAAAAAAATACCGTTTGTTTGATATTCGTCCTATTGGTCTCTTCTAAAGATAGCCATCGTTGCGAAATTTCAAGCTTTCTTTGTCCCTCCTGATATATTAAAATGATTAGGATACACAGATGAAATCAGTAGTGTTCAATATTATTTAGATTGCGTATAAATCTATAAAGGACTTATTTTGCAGTCTTTGCTCACATTTGAAACTAATGAATTTTTTAAGGCCAGTCCAGCAGATGTACGAATAAATGATTGCGCTGATTCGTTAGCAAGCTCTTGAGCCAGCAATACCGCGTATTGCCCCTAATCATACAAAGAAAATTAATCAGACGCGTTCTAAAAAGTTACATCAAGATAAATTGTCTTGCCATATATTGAGATGCTTACATAATTGTTGACTGCAAAAGTTTGCAATTGTTTTTCCGCATCGCTACGAACTTGCTGGTCTATAGATTAGAAATATATAAAATTCAAAATAGTTAGCTAGCTTGCAAGCATGTGCAAAAAAATATAATAGAAATGCAAGGTAGTCACTTTTGATTGATCAAGCAAAAAACTTGCATCTATATAGAAGAAAATTTCATAAAACACAAAAAAACAATCATTACTGACCGGCGGAGAGTGTATTTGCAAGGAGCTCTGCAATGCTCATTTTATCGTCGATTTCTCAAAACTATATCAAGCAAGAGAGAGAGAGCATGTGTTGAAGAACCTTATTTATATTTTCGTATATAATCAACATTAAAACGCAAACACAAACAAACAAATAATTCAAATTCAATAAAGCATCTTTGTACTTTGATTAAAAAGTCCGCAACAAATGAATTTGGACGGGAACGTATGTGAGAAATGAGTGTGCGTTTGTATATATTTACGGTACCGTTACTTTTTTAAAGAGGTAATTACCAGTTATAGTTATGTAGCTCGTCGTCGCGCGCGGGCTATTGGATTTGTATTAAATATTGGGACTTGCGTTTTATTTTTATGTTTGAAGCTTTGATTCGCGTTAGGAAAAAAGTGACCTTTTTTCCGGTAAGGAATTCGAGAAAAAAGGGTGCAAAGGACTTTTTTTTTAAAAGCACAGCAGTGGAACAAATAAGAGCCAAGCACTGCGTACATCCTGAATCATTTATCAATCAGGATCCAAAGTTAATTTATCGTTATGTTAACTTCTAAACAAAAAGTCCTTATCCAAAACCATTCCCTTTATGTTTCTAAAAATTACTTAAGATAAGATACAAGTTATGACAGAGGATATTTATTATAATAATATATTAGCTGTCAGAATTTATAAATAAACTTGAAAATTTTAAAAAAATATAATTATTAGATTTCTTTCTTGTATACTTGAATTATCCAAAAATTTATCAAATGGCTTTAGTTTAGAGCAAATAATTCCGGATATATAAATTTCTTGTGCTAAAGTAACATTTTTGTATCAATAAATCAAAAAAATAAAGTCACGTGATCAAACATCATATAAGCATGGCACGTGATTTAGAATAAGACATCACGTGAACGCGAAGTTTGTGTAACCTTATTGTATAATACTGCTATGGTTTTACATCTTTTATATAAAATAACCTTTAACCTTGTTGATGGCTAATTTTTACAAACAAGGCCCAGCTCGAGTGTGATATTATAGATCTAAATTAACATAAATTAATGGACGGTTCACAGGTTCATAAATTTCTTTTTATACAGATCTTATACGTGTTTTATGTATCATTATTGAATTGCTCGGATCTTTAACTTTTGTTTTTTATTTTAACTAGCAACTCAATTCCGAGTTGTTATCCAGACTTCTTGTAACTCAATTGAAAGACGTGTGCAGACTGTTGGAATTAAAAGTTGGTGGAACAAAAGCAGTTTTAGCTGGGCGCATAGAAGATTACGTTGAACACCTCAAGGAAAAGGGCGATATTGAAAAGCTAAACTTTGTTAGAGCACAGGTTGATAGGTAAGGATGGCGTCATGAATAGAGAGAGTCTATTATTTCGATAATTTACCCGAGATTTTCGCCAACTGCAACAACCAAAAACGTGGATTTTTTGTGTGTATTTGGTTAGAGAATAATCCAATTATAACTCGATGCGATCGGCGCACACACTGGAGCTTATTTATGCAGATTTATTTTCATTTTAACGACGATCCTATTCGCTAATAGACTTAAAATTACCATTTTTTTATTTACTACTAGATTATTAAATACTAACCGAATGAATTCATCAACAACACCTCTACCGAATCAAGGTTCAATAAACCGAGTTCGGATTAATTACAATAATGGTTATAATCGGGAGTCAAATAAAGAAACTAAATCTGGTGGCTCTTATCCTTCAAATTGTCATCCCTCATATTCCCCGTATTCCACCCCCATTTACCGTAATCTCCCGCCTCCGTCACCATCATTAGGTACACCATTAAATTATAATCATAATCATCATCCAAATCCGTATGCTTTTTATCCTAGCAATGACAAGACGTCATCGTCTTCATTATCGACGAATAACGGCGGGCGCAGTGGTACACAGCCACAACAAATCATAAAGCTTCCATCAAATTTGCCGTCGAATTATTTTCAAAATATAATATTTAAAAATTCACCTTTTTATGAGGTGGTGGAGCGAATCACACCTGGAAAAATTTGTCATGGTATTTATTCATTTGATCATTCGTTATTATTATATCTTGTGGGCAAAGTGCTTGAGAAATATTAGTCTTGCGATAATCCATTGTTTTATTTGTATTGTTGACGATAGCTTCAAATGATAAATATCGGATTTGTGTCGATTTTTTATTAACACATTCACATCTAAACAAGATAAAGTAAAAAGACTATAATTTTAATGTTATTGAATTTGATAATTTTCTAAAATCTTGAATCAATTTTTTCTCAATTGAAAATTTTCTTTAAATTATTAGCTCAAAATATAATGAAAATTCTGGAAAATATCAAGTTCGATTTTTCAGTTGTGCTGCACCTGAAACAACTCATTACATGTCGAGAAGTCCTCATGTTGCATTAGTTGAATTTCCAACAATGTGTGAACTGTATATCAATGGGAACCAACTACAAACAGTAAGATTAGTGTTCTACGTATTTTTCATGATTTGTTATTGAAAATAGTAATTTGACAATAACGTAAAATAGAGTCTTCGAGGATTGAAAAATAAACCAGGGACTGTTCAACCACGCGATATTACATCATTTTGTAATACGATTGTTAAAAATACCAATAAAATTGAATTTGTATACGCGAATACTTTGAAGGTTAGTTGATGCGGCGCGTTGCATTATAAACTTTAGCCTGGGATATTATCCATTTTCTCGACGTATTTTCTTAATTATTGAAATAGCCCTATATAGTCATGGTGCAAATAGTTAAAAGCATATCAGTTGCATCAATAGTAGAGGGAATAAAGAGGAATAGATTGATAACGAAAGAAGCGGTGCTTCAGAAGCGTGAGTATACATTTATACATTTTTTCCTATTCTTAGTTGATTAATTAATTATTCGGTTCAATTATTATAATTAAAATTGCATTTTTTTTTTTGTTTTTGGCATCTCCTATTAATCAAGTACAAAAAGAAGCAGAAGATTCAGATCTCGTTGCTACTTCAAGCGTAATCTCACTTAAAGATCCGGTAAGCAATTAATTTTCGTGGAGAAAAACTCGATTGAAAACCAAGACCAAGACGCTAATTCTCTATTCTGTAGCTCTGTCACTTACGAATAAATACTCCATGTAGATCTGTAAATTGCAGTCACATCCAATGTTTTGATATTGTTTATTATTTCCAAATGAATGAACAAACGCCGACATGGACATGTCCGGTTTGCAATAATATATTGGATTCATGGGAAGAGATTGCATTGGATGGGTATGTTAATTAATTATTTTAATAACTACTCTATTTATAAATACTATGTCTTTTAATAAAAAATAATTTTAGATATTTCGCTGATATTTTGGATAAAGTGCCACCAGATCAAGAAACAATTGTAATCGAAGCAAACGGCCGATGGGAATTAACTTCAACGCCTGAACCAATCACAAAGATTCCCCAACTCACAAATACTATCGACAATAATCCAGAAATTTATATTATTGATGATAGTGATGAAGAAACAATTAATGCCCCTGTTACGTTACCATCTAATAAAGAAAATAGTAAACCTATTGTTATTGATCTTACACTTGATTCTGAAGATGAGAGTGAAGTCGACGAACTAGATAGCGAAGAAAGTGTCAATAATTACATCCCACCTTCACCGACAAATCCGCAACCATTATATCAAATTAATCCCGAAACTCAATCTTCACCAACTTATTACGACTATCATGATATCAACAATAAAAATTCAAATGATTCTGGAGTGGGAACAACACCGCAAACATCGTCGTTGGCCTCACCTGAATTATTAGGGCAATATTTCTCTATAGGTTTATTGAATGTGGATCCAATACATGCTATTCCGCCATCGCCACTCTACGACATTGAAAACAATCCAATGCTGCAGAACACGAACGATATTTACAATAATAATAAAAACAAAAATAATAATAATAATAATACGAATGACGATTCTTTGGAAGACACTAGTATTGCTCTCTTTTCTAATGAGAATAATGATGTTTATCATCAAAATCATTGTCTCGATCGTGGACAGTCAGATGATAATTCATGGGAACAACGGACAATTGAAGAATTTTATTATGATAATAATAATAATAATAATTGATTGATCATATAGATGAACTTTATTTATTCCTTCTCCCTTATTATACACGTGTACCGTTTTCTTTTGGTTTGAGGAGGAGGAGGAAGTGAATATCACCACCAAATTTATGATGTTATCACCACCAAATTTCTGATCTCATCTAATTATTTATAGTAAACTTAATTATTTCAATTATGCTAGCTATTAGCATTAGCTTTAATGTATAAATATGGTGTATTTAAACTAAATGGGAAATATGATGTATGTGCGGCGGTTTATCAGTAATGTTTTAACATTAACGAGTGTAGTTTAACGACAGTGATCGCATGATTCATATGATGAATCAAGTATGCGCGATTGAGATTGATTACTTTATCTCCCAGCGGATTAATACACTAGTTTGGTCCTATATGAAAGCTTTACCCGTTAATTGCGCTGGCTAATCATTTAAACCTTTAATAAGCATAGCAGCGTAACTGTTGATTAGTTAGTTATATTTGATTTTCATATTAATTATTTCCCAGTTAAATGTCTTATGGTAAAGCAATTTCGCAGGAATGACAAGCTTTTAGCGGAAACAGACTGAAGCGAATCTGACATTTAGATGTAGTTCTATAATTTTGAGATTAAAAATTTAAAAGTTCAATATTCATTGATTTAATTTTAAATATAAATTTTAATCTATCTTCTATAAATTCTGATCTATCTTCTAGAATTATTTCCATACTTTCTATTGTTTTTACCAGTTAATAATATATGTTATCGCACCTCAGATAAAATATCTTTGTATGGAAGTACAAGAATTCCAATTGTGCCTTCAGGATATCGGGTTAGAATCCCTTCTAATTCCCGAACAATAATTGTTACATTGGGTCACAATTGGAATTCCTATAAACCTTCCTTCTATATATACACCTTTATCATGTATCCTATTCACCACAATCCTAGCGCAAAGCAATAACTAATTCATTTGTATAAACATTTCTGGTGGTAGCGTAGCGTTAGATACATAATAAAATCATCGATTTCCTTAAGAATCGGGTATTACCAAAATTACGCGATCGACGGAATTATTACCGTTTTTTGGGAGGCGTTAATGCACGATTAATTATATTATCATTTGATGGCCCTACAAAAAATTTGAGTTCTTTCATGATATACGGGGCACCTAAAAAAATGAACATGTCTAAGTTAAAAGGTCAGTGGACAAGATTATATGTAAAATTGCCTTCCCGACATTTTTTTAATAAAGACAGGCTTAGGCATCGGTTTTCATATCTTGGAAAGCCAGACGTTAATCTTGTGAATTGATTAGCGATCATTGATGACGTCATATACAAATGATCACGCGCTCGGAAAATTCTACAACCATTCTTCATTTTAAATCGCTAGATATAGCGTTAGTAAGAACCTGATTTATTACAAAAACCAAGAAATTAAAATGGCTTTGAACTGGGCTTTGGTTGCAGGAGATGCTAAAAATCCACTTCCAGTACCTCTTCCCGAGGAGGAGTTCTTCCTTAGGTACAAAAAACAAAAGTTTCCACCTATACTTTTGAAAATGTTCGGAGAACTTCTATTAATTATGAAAAATATGCATTATATATTAGTAAGAAGAAGGTTTCGCTTGTTCTAGAATTTGGGTCGTAAGTACTTTGATAATCTAAATTTACTGTT